CATTAATTTTATTGAAAATCCTTTGCATCCAATGAGTCTAACCCAACAGGCAAGTCAATCAAGTTCCATACTTCATTGATATACATCAAGTCCATTTTAGATTTCATGGCTTCTTGCCACCTCTCTAAATCAATATCTAATATTGCTTTAGTGTACGTCGTAGGTTCATCCTTATCAGGATATTTACATCATCATGATCCTCCATGAGGAAGCCAGCCTAGTTGATTCATGACGAATCCTGGTATACCTACATAGTTTGAATATTTTGCGTTGGTTCAGGCTATTCATTCTGATTGTGAACAGGTTCTCCTTCATTGGACTGTCCAATGCTCAGGGAGTTTTCTGGTGCTACACTCTAAAGTGTTTCCAGAGAAGGAGAAGTGGGTGCAGAAAGAATGACAACCATGTCATCTCTTACTATAATAAGAATCACTTGATGGTGCGAGGTGATTCCTATGTTACTCCCACTAGCTGAAAGACATCATCCTAGAGACATGCTTCCACTCGATTCTCCCACTGAATCCTTGTTATGACCATCTAATAAGTTTTTGCCCTCTATATTATTTTGCGATTCTTGAACTTCATCAAGTTCTATCCTCCCACAATTACATTCCTTAAAGACCAAGTCTTGTACTAGGAATCTCGCTTTTCTTGGAAATAATGATTTTATATCCCTCGGGAAGATAAACTAGTATCCTCTAGTTTCCTTACGATACCTCACAAAATAATATCTCTCACTTCTAGGTCCCAACTAGTCAATGTCTATTTTCTTCACATATGTAAGGCAACCTCACACTTTAATATGTGTAAGAATAGGCTTCTTATTACACCATAACTCATATGGTATCTTTTGCACTAACTTAGATGGAACTCTATTCAGAATGTATATTGAGGTTTCCAATGCGTACCCCCAAAGAGATGTCGGAAGAGACTGGAATTCATCATGGACCTAACTATGTCCAACAAGGTTCTATTTCTCCTTTCAGAAACCCAATTCGATTGAGGTGTTCTTGGAGGAGTCCATTGTGACTGAATTCCATGACCTTTCAAGTAATCAAGAAACTTCTTACTCAAGTATTCCCTTCCACGATCAGATCGTAGAGTCTTGATACTCTTGTCAAGTTGTTTCTCTAATTCATCCTTATACTCCTTGAATTTCTCAAAAGCTTCTGATTTGTGTTTCATAAGATACACAAATCCAAACCTAGAGAAATCATCAGTAAAATGATGAAGTAAGAAAATTCTCTTCTACCTTGAGTTGGGAACTGTCCTCACACATATGTGTGAATCAACTCAAGTACTTCTTTGGCTCACAATCCTTTTCCAAGAAAATGTTTATTGGTCATTTTAGCTGAGAGACATGAATCACAATTACCATATGATTCAAAATCAAACGGTGTTAAGTAATCTAATTTACTTAACCTTGTTATTCTTGTTTCACTAATATGGCCAAGTCGCAATGCCAAAGACAGGTGGTATTTTTCTGATTACTTAACCTTGGTCTCTTATTTTGTACATTTAATATGTCATGCCTACAAGTAAGAATATATAACCATTCATAAGAGGGGCATTTCCCTACACAATGTCATTTTGTCAAAAACAACAAGTGTTATTAACAAAATGGAAGGAAATCCCTTAATGTCTAACATATGAACGAAAATTATATTCTTTGTTATAGAAGGAACAAAATAACAAGGCAAAACTGTCAAATAGGTCCTCGAACTTTCATAAAAAGGTCAATTAAGTCCTTTTATAGGAGGTTCTGTCCGGCCGTCGCGATTTGGGGTAGTTCCCGGTGGAATTTTTTGATGAAACTTTTTGAGCATCTTATTCACCAAGTCTAGTTTACTCATACCAAATTTCAGCTAAAAATTCAATCGGGAATACATTCAAATAAATTCTTGAAGATAACTGCGCATTTTTGCGTTCTCGAATTAATTTGAATGCTCTCCCGATTAAATTTTTAGCTGAAATTTGGTATGAGTAAACTAGACTTGATGAATAAGATGCTCAAAAAATTTCATAAAAAAATTCCACCGGGAACCGCCCCAAATCGCGACGACTGGACAGAGTCTCCTATAGAAGGACTTAATTGACTTTTTTATGAAAGTTCGAGGACCTATTTGACAGTTTTCCCAAATAACAATTATTTATTTTCAAACTATAACTGCCGGATAAATCTAATTTATAAATTCCTACACGCCTAGCAGCAACTATTGCTCCATTTTCTACACGTAGGCCAATTTCACCCAACCTAACTGCTTACTGTCACTTAGACTTTACACATTATTCCAATGTGTGAGCCACATGTGGTATCTAATACCCAACAGTGAGAGTGTAACACCCCGGCCCCACCGGACCCGAGGTAGTTACTCCAGACCTCTAGTACTGTCCTCACAAACCGCCACTAGCCTTTTACGCGCACTTTGTCCTCACTCGTGCGCGCCCTGAGAAACTTCCCAGGGGGTCACCCATCCCAAGACTACTCCCGTGCAAGCACGCTTAACTTTGGAGTTCTTGGCTAATGAGCTCCTTTAAAAGGAGATGCACCTTGTTGGTATGAGTAGTACTATTAATCCGTTTATATTAAATCTCAAGTGTTACAATCACCCCCACTTAGGATCGCAACGTCCTCGTTGCGCCCTTGAACCAATCTCAAATCTCAATCAAATCCCAGAATCTTCCCCCGCTAAGTGCCCGCCCGATATCCAACGGGTCAACACACTGTCGCAGGGTTGCTCTGATACCACCTGTAACACCCCGGCCCCACCGGACCCGAGGTAGTTACTCCAGACCTCTAGTACTGTCCTCACAAACCGCCACTAGCCTTTTACGCGCACTTTGTCCTCACTCGTGCGCGTAAAAGGCTAGTGGCGGTTTGTGAGGACAGTACTAGAGGTCTGGAGTAACTACCTCGGGTCCGGTGGGGCCGGGGTGTTACAGGTGGTATCAGAGCAACCCCGCGACAGTGTGATGACCCGTTGGATATCGGGCGGGCACTTAGCGGGGGAAGATTCTGGGATTTGATTGAGATTTGAGATTGGTTCAAGGGCGCAACGAGGACGTTGCGATCCTAAGTGGGGGTGATTGTAACACTTGAGATTTAATATAAATGGATTAATAGTACTACTCATACCAACAGAGGTGCATCTCCTTTTACGGGAGCTCATCCGCTAAGAACTCCAAAGTTAAGCGTGCTTGCACGGGAGTAGTCTTGGGATGGGTGACCCCCTGGGAAGTTTCTCAGGGCGCGCATGAGTGAGGACAAAGTGCGCGGTAAAGGCTCGTGGCGGTTTGTGGGGACAGTACTATTGGTCCGGAGTAATACCTCGGGTCCGGTGGGGCCGGGGTGTTACAGAGAGTTAGTTGTAGACATATTAATATTAATGACAAAAATACTTAAGCTAAAAGCACTCGGTGCTTTGGCTAGATTAGCCCTACATAGCTTAAAAACTCTCTTTCACTGCCCTCTCTTTGTTGTAGAGGCATACATTCTTCAGTACTTTAGATTTCTTTTGAATCCTACCTTTAGGTTTCAAAGCTAGCGGTTTAGGTCAACCCTTACTTTTCTTAGCAATGTGATTCTTTTGAATGTCCATGTCAAACATGGCTAATTTAGAAGAGTTCACATTAGAAATCTCAGGTACATATGTGTCAAACACATGCTCAATATTTTCTTGCCTAAACATTAAACGCACATTTTGTTCGAAGTCTAGAAAGTCTGGTCCAGTCAGATATATTATTTGTATCCAAGATACTTTTGAATGATAAATTCGACTACCTAAGATCCTAGAGAAGTTCAAATAGAACGAGAATTAAAATCATATATTAATTCCTATGATCACATTTAGTTAACTAAATAATACGGACTTTTAATTATTTAGCTCCCACTATTTTTCATGTTCTTTGACCCCAATAAAAAGAACATAGATTGTTTTCACAATCATAGTGGCCAAGATCCACATTCATACTATTACAGTCTCAGCTTGGGCTGATCACTGCAATCATATAATGGGTAGGTCCCTAAACCAATTGCTTCCATACAACTCTTGGTTGATCAATTTTTAAACTGATCGACATCCTTAAATTACACTGACGCTTTGGCGACTCGTGCTAATTTAAGTAAGTCAAAACCATCACACGATCACAAACTTATGCATCTATAAATTAGTTATATACTTTGTCGAATTGAATAAACACTTTGGTGAAATATTCTTTAACGAAAAAATATATCTACTAATTTAATTATGATGGGTGATGTCATTATCCTAGATAAGACTTAAATTTTAATTTATGGGGAACGTTTAGCGGGGTATTAAATTAATTTAAACAAGATGCTAACACATATTATTAAATAATGTGTTAATGAGATCTAACTCAAACAAATAAATTAAAGCATGCAATATAAATCTAATTTATAAACAAATACAACAGTCAAACATAAGCACGCTTAAAAAAACAATAATACGATTATTTGTTAAAATTAGTCATTCTAAATCTCGAAGATAATTCCACGCTTAAAAAAAACAATAATACGATTATTTGAGTTTTTTCCCAGAATAATGCTAATTAAATAAATAATTCCCAAAATACTGCCGGGTTAAGAATAATTCCCGAAATACTGCTGGTGCTAACCATGGTTAAGGAAAGCCGCCACTCCAAGTGGCGGCTTTTGTGAAACTGTACAAAAGCCGCCACTTGGAGTGGCGGCTCTTCTACTTCTGTATGAAAGCCGCCACTCCAAGTGGCGGCTCTTGTGTTAACGAACCTGCTGCAACATCATTCAGACAACTAAACCTGTAATTACCAGAAAAACGGCTCATCACAAAATCACAGTCCATTCCATTCAAAAAAACAACCAAACATATGATTTACTAAGACAAAATACACCCGAAACATAAAACGAATCAATGAAACTACATGACAACATACATCCAAAATACAAAACGAATCAATGAAACTACATATTATGAAACTTTCACAAAACGAATCAATGCACCACAAAATTGAGTATAAACCATAAAAGTTATAATAAATCTGGTGTTTCACAAAATGATTCGATCTGCCAGTGCATGCTACAACTTTCACACAATAATTTAAATACAAAGATCATAAGTCAACGTGATCATCATCATCATCATGAAGTTCATGTGGCTGTGCTCGGGGACGCCTGCGTTGGTTACGAGGCTGAAGAACAACTCTATCACGTCGGACTGCCTGAGAAGACCCTGCTGCGGATGTAGATGCGGTGGAATGCTGAGAGGTGGCCATATATCCATAATCCACTTGACCCAATACATCAGCGCACAGTGAAACAATGCCTGAACAAGCGTCATGGTATCCCTGTACATCTACCGCCTCATCAAGTATAGCAGTCGCTCTGTCATGGATGCTACGCAAAGCCCGTGTCTGTAATGCAAACATGGTTATTAGTGAAAAACACATGAATAAATAAATAAAGATATTTCATTGACTATATTGTTTACCGTCATATGAAGAGCGACTGAGCTAGGCTGATAATGATCAGTGGGCAAACCAAAAACTGGGAGAGATAAACACCCGTGTGATGGTGTAATACCATCTCATGTAGTTTACAGAAGCTGTGGGGACTAATGATGGGATCTCGTCCACTATATACGCCGCTCTCTCATCCCACATAGTGATATACTGAATATGGCGCATCCCCCAATCTTCAGTGTGCTTCCCCCGTCTATCAATCTTGTGCAAATCCACAGATGTATCACAAGGTCCGGGAGTAACCTGCTGCAACCCGAACTGGCGTAGTACGCGATCAGGAAAGTGATGCTCCACTACATCAAAACATATCAAGGGCACACGTGCTCGCCATATCTCAGTGTGCTCTCGGGCAACAGGAGGCAACAACCCTAGAATCTCATCAGTGTACGGCATCCACGTCATCTATAATATAAAATTATGTTAGACCATGATTTATAAAAACATAAAACAAAGTACTTACATTTAATGATATGAATGATATACCTGATCATCACACAAGCGATCTAAAGCATCTCGGTAGTATCCTAATCCAACAGCGGATGACGTGCGCGTGACATGAGCAAATAGCCATCTGACACACAGTAATGTATAAGAATATAAAAGGGATTCACGTACATCATACAAAAAAAATCATAAACATACCTACGACCCAAAGGATCCTCGCCACGAACATGATGTGGCCCAAGTACAGCGTGCTGATCCATATCATCATCAAGAGGACCACCATCTACCCCATGATATCGCAGTATGACAGGTCTGCCGATATGAATGTGCTCCCATGACCATAGTTGTATGAGCAATAAAAACCCACCCATCTCTCCACCGTCACGATGGCAACCTCGACATAACTGCCGATATAGGTATGCTAAAGTCGCACTACCCCAGCTATAAACTGCAGCTACATCAAAAGACTCCAGAATGGAGTCTTTTCCCTTCGATTCGAGTAGCTTTTGGACGAGTTCCGACCGGATTGGTAACCTCTGTTGCGCAGCTTCTTCTTCGTCGGTTGTTGCAGAGAGGTGGTGGGTTGCTCTCTGTAATCGTTCGTCGAGGGGGAGTGTTTTAATTTCCGAATAAATGAGCCGCCACTTGGAGTGGCGGCTTTTGAGTAGCAGTTCAAAAACCGCCACTTGGAGTGGCGTCTTTTGTGAAGCTTTACAAGAGCCGCCACTTGGAGTGGCGGCTTTCCTTAACCGTGGTTAACCCAGCAGTATTTTGGGAATTATTCTTAACCCAGCAGTATTTTGGGAATTATTTATTTAATTAGCATTATTTCGGGAAAAAACTCCTATTATTCGTTAAAATTAGTCATTCTAAATCTCGAAGATAATTCATCTAAGTAGATAGCAAATACGGAGTATTCTACCTAATTGAGTAGGACTTCCAAAGCAATCCAACTTAAAATAACTCTGCATTAAAAACAGTCTCTTAAATCCAAAAAGATAGGCTTTATGAAAACCTCTTGCAGCAATCAACTACTGCGTATTAATTAAACTGATAATGAATGAATATCATCAATTCATCATCAACTTAAAGTCCAACTTGCTTTAAGGAGAAAAGAACGACATTCTTGTAGACGTATAGGACTAGAAATTCAAATATGCAAGAAGGCCCTAGCAGCTTGTCAAATTTCTAAAGTCGACTCAAAATCAAAATTTCTAAAATATGGCGTGAGCTGCGATCCGTTCTCCAGTCCTCCAAATCAGTATACGTAATACGCTGAAAGTATATAATCTTCTTCTCTGTTTGAAGGCCTTATGCAACAATCGTCTTCTGCTCTTCTCCGCATTAACATCATCCGTCGAAGACAGCATTTCTCCAGATTTCTTAATTTCGAAAGTCCAATTTCAGAAAAATACAATTTGCGATTGGTTTTTTGTGATCACCAGCATTGCGTTGGTATCGACGTTTTCTCCCGACACAATGTTCGCGGATAAGTTTTTAATTTCAGATATCTATTTCTAAAAACTTTCATAAGATAGTCGTACTTCAATTACGAAATTGATTTACGGCAAAATATATACTACCGAACTATTACAATTTACAATTATGTATTTTGATCACAAAATACATTAAATTCGTATAATGTCATTAGAATCTCTGATATCACTGTTAGGAAATTGATGTAACGTACCTCGAAAGTACAGCAGCGGAAGTTTAAAATTTTTCCAAACAGATCGTCCCTGATTATGACAAAACAACGAATATAACAATAATAACAGATCTGAGATAGAACTTACAGATCTTCCAGCCTAGCGGTGATAATCCTTGACCTTAGGTATCCACGTGATTTCTCCTTTCCGAAAGAACGGTTAGATCTCCCTTAGAGAAAGACTAGGAAATCTCTTCGCAGGGAAATAAACTGATAATACTGAATCTAAAACTGATCTGCGAATTATGAAGGAGGACGATGTATTTATACTAGTTCTAAACTAGTTTCCCAATCACAATGAAAGTCTTTCTCATTAATGAGTTCTAATCTAATTAGGACCAATCTCATTTATGATTTAATTATTATTAATTAAATAAATCAACCAAACAAATTAATAATAAGATGAAAGTTGGCTGCACGCCACTTTCCATCTTTATTATTATTTATTTTAGTTTTCTTTTCTTTTTAATTCTAAATTATAAAGAAAAAGTACCAACTTTATTTAATTAAGAATACATCTTAATCTTAATTAAGTATAAAAAATCTAATTTATCACAGTTAATTAAATGTATCAAATATAACTCTTCTTCAACATCACGAATTAAATATAGTTAATCTAACTAATATTTAATCCATTTTCAGTATTACGAATTAAATATTATATAATCCAATTAATATTTAATTCCTTCTAACAATTCTATCAGAAGGTATAATCACTTGTTGTGTGACCCATAGGGCCTTATATATTAAGCACTAATCAAATTAAGGTCTTAGCAGAATCCCTAGACGATTTACCAGACAATCTTAATATATAAGGACGTTTGCGAGGACTATTCAAACTCCCTGTAATATAGAGCTCACAGTGATACAATCCTTTCATTCAACGAACATTCAACTAAGTCTAGAACATGATAATGTGTCTATTCCAATAACTTAGTTTCTGTCTCTCAATCTTTCTAGATGATCTATAACGATCATATTCGATATCCAAAACGAATATATCTTTGCATTGGCCAATGACTTTATGATCCATCTAGATATGAGAAGTAGAATGTTCTCTCTTAATCTATTATGAGGAATGAATCCTTTCTTGGCTCAACTACTACTCCATGTGCTTCGTGATGCACCCAACACATGCCGTATCTACCCCGATTGGAGTGCAAGCATTGGTCATGGTCAAAGTACATCACTCCGCACATGAAGTACGTATTGACCTCAAGTCGAAGGACTATTACACTACTCTATACGCCGATAATCCCATAGACACATGAATAGAACTTATCAAATGGTTTCTCGGTGGGTATGCCAATATTCTCTAAAATATCTATGTGACCATCATGAATTATAGGAACTCATAGTTGTGAGATCAACTATACTTTCTAAAAGTATGATGCAGTCCACATACCAATCTTATCGCATATCATCAATATCCATTTCTTGATGACCATTGATTGGGGCTATTTTAGAACCTTATGTGATATCATATAAGCCCCCACTTACTTATTGACAACATAAGTCCAAGGGAACACAATTATGAATAAGATATTGACAATCGAAATACTTAATCATCAATGTGTAATACCGTATATATCAAATATATAAAACTGAATGTGATCAAGTACATATATCTCTAAAAAGTGATTGTCGCTAGGACATATATACTAACATCGCCGTCCTCAAACGAGTCTTCTGCCACCACCGTATCACGAATCCGTCGAGGTAACCTTCCTCCCCCTGCGTAGCTCATTACGTCGATCTCGTGAGGAAGAAGAACAATATTTTTTTAAAAAAAAATGTTGGGCCGTTTGTTTAGTTTGGGCCGGTACTTTGTATTCTATGGGCCGAAACTCCCAAGTAGTAATAATAATAATTATTATAATAATAATAGTAATATGTAGTAATAATAATAAAAATAGTAATAATAATAATCTGCAAAATTGATAAATTTGAGATGAGAAGTATTAATGGTGAAATTGGCAGGATAATTGATAGTAATCACTTGGATAAATTTGTTAATTGTTATTTAACATAGTTACATAATGTTAAATAATAAAAAGGAAATTGATGGTTTTATTAATAAAAATTGATAAACAAATATTATATTAAAATTATAATTATTTATTTGGACTTAGTAGAGAAAATTGGATCGTTATTGTTTTCACTAATTATTGGAATGATTGAAGTAGATTAATAAGTTAACATAATTACGGACTTGGAAATATCAAGTGTTTGAATAATTAATAAAATCAGACTAAGTTGATGATGATTAGTTAATTTAAATTCGGATTCACTAATAGTGTCAATTAATATAAATTAATTACGAAATTTGAATAGTTAATATAATTCGGTTATGTTTTATTAAAATATTATTCGGATATTTTATTTAGACATAGAATTCAAATAGTGTTATTAATGGCGGACTCATTGAGTAATTCAAAAGAATATAACGAATTAATCAGTACCTGTTATTATCCTAATAAGATGAATTGAAAGTTTATGGTTTAAACTTTAATTGGAATTTTTGGCCTGTAATTATAATTTGTATGTTGTAATAGTTGAATACTAAATATGTTACGTACTCCGTATTGTTCTTAATAATTCGAATAATAGATTAACTGATAGAATAAGGCTGATTTAAAAACAGTAGTGAAATGAAATAGGAAATAAAGTGGTAAGATTAATAGAAGTGATTAATCGATGATTAATGGATATACTAAGTTCGAATTAAAAATTAGTCACATTAATGAACTCGAATAATAATAATATATAAGAAAATAATTTGGGTAGATATTTAATGTTAGACAATCGACTAATTATATCATCTTAATTAGAAGGTGACAATCTAGAGACCATATTAGAGAAGGATAACTAGGAGCTTCAAGACTTAAGGTAAGTTTCTCTGCCAATCCAAAATTGTTTCCTCGTATTATATGCTTATTATGCATTATGTGATTAAGTGTGAATTGTGAATTTTGTGTATGTGATTTTGAGGAGATATTATATAAATGGTAGTTGAGAAATATAAATTAAGCACTTTTGGGGTATTAAATATTTTAAATACCTTCGAGACTTTTTAAAGGGATTGAGAAATATTTTTTATGTATATCTTAATTAATTCAAGATAAAAGTAAAGATTTTATAAGAGGTGAGCACCGCGGGAGAAATCCGCGGTGTCGGTTTTCCACATCCGGATAAATGTGGAGGGTGATTAGGGCTGCTACTACTAAGAAGTACAGTTTAAGTTTTAAGTGACATTTGGATCTATGATCCCTTTTAAAGAAGAAGTTATAGTAGTAGTCCCTAATTGTTGGTCCCAGTTTATGCAGACTAACGATCAGCTAGATGGATATCATCAATAAACAGAAAGAAAGAAGATCTGATAATGATCAAACAATGTCGAGAACAGAGAAATTCTTCTTTCTGATGTATCGAGAACTATTTGGGCAGCATAAGGCTAAATGTGTATTGATCGATATCGGTACATGTACACAAGGCGCATATTTATAGGCGCTGTACAGGTTACCGATTTAGGTAAACCTTGGAAGTTGGGCCAAGGCCTTTTTGGGCCTTATTCCCTTTACCTTATTTATTACATAATAATTACTAATCTAATACTATAAATGGTATAACTAGTCTACTTTATTAAACAAGACATTACAGACAAACTTGACCCACAATAAAAGTTCTAACAATCTCCCCCTTTGTGGTCAAGTGTCGTCTTGCTGGGTTTCTTCACTTCTGAGCTTTGAAATAACTCTTTCTGAGATTAAGTACATGCTCATAGCTCCTGAGTGAATTTCTGTTTTCAAGTTGTGTCTTGATGGCTTTTAGGATATCTTCTGTTCTTTCCAGCTCTCTGAGTTCATCTTTTGTAGTTTCTGTTGACTTCTTGACAAGTTCTTCCCTTTTTGATTGCAGCCTATTTCTGATGATCTTTAGGGTTCCATCGCAATATTTGTTTATTTCTTTGACAAACAGAAGCCGCTTCTTTCCTTCATGATTCAGATAGATGACCGAGACTGGATTGTCAAAGATGTGATCTTCTGGAAAGTCTTCTATCCCTGGTCTGTCAAGGTCTGGCTTTGTAAGGTTCACTTTGGGATAATTCCTTTCCAGGCCCATCTGAAGATCGTGACTGATACGTTTGTAATTTCCGTATGTTTATTTACGTTTTTAGTTAGTTTTGATTGTTTAATATTTCGGAAATTACACACTTTCGGTGTAATAGTTTAGTTTGTTAAATTCTTGTAATTTGTTTAGATTAGGTTTATTCTGAGCTTAAACAGGTCCAAGATCAATCAAATGATCAATGGTGAAGGAAGGTGCAAGAGTACAAGACAAAAAGAAGGAAAATCCTGATTTTGGTCTATACTCGGTCGAGTATATACATATACTCGATCGGGTATCTGGTTGACATTTCAAATCGGATCGGATCCGAAAACAAAGGAACATGCAGGAGAAGATTTTCCCACGTTCGAGTGTCTATACCCGATCGGGTATACTTATATACTCGATCGGGTATAGCTATAAAAACTACCCGAGTATTGATCGAGTATAGGGCGAATTCGATGTTCTACACATACTCGATCGAGTATGTATATATACTCGATCGAGTACTCGACCTGCACCTCAAAAAGCCTATAAATACACCTCCTTTCCTTCACTTTGAGAAACCAATTCCTTTATACTCTTAAGCTCAGTTTAGAATAGCATTTCTCTATATTTCTTTTAGCATGTTTAGTCTCCAAATGAGGAGCTAAACTTCCATTTCTTGGTATTGCTCTTGAAGCTTGTTGATTATTAAAGTTGTGAGTTATTTTCTTAACTTCTTTTCCTTGAATATTAATTCTTCCTTTAAATACTATTTCTATATCAATGTTGGGGAGTGTTACTAAGATGACAATTAGTTAACATCTTGACATTGGTCTTAGTAATAGCTATTCCTTCCTCTATGTTAATATCGGGGAGTGTTACTAAGATGACAATTAGTTAACATCTTGATATTTAACTATAGTAGGATTCATTCCCTTTAATATTCTTCCTTGAGTATTAATTAATTCCTATTCATATTTCATGTTAATATTTTGAACATTACTTAAAGGATCAACTAGTTTTGTTTCATATATTAATTATTACTAGAAATGATCAACGAACCGATGGTTAATCGTTGATAGTTTCACAAGTAAGTAACTTCGGTTTATTGATGCACGGTCGTGGTTAATAAACTTAAAAGGGATTAA